CTGAATAATTTTCAGTTAAATTCTTCTTAATTTCTTAATTTATTTTTCCATCTGATTAAGTCTTAAGGTGAAATCTTTTTCTCTCTCTTTTTTAGAATTGCTTTTTACTCCATTTTATTTCACTGTCTTGGGGCTTATCTCAACTCTGACCATGATTTGATCTGTTTTACTTTTTAATTATGTTTCAATTGGCTTTGTTTTTCAAAGTGTCACATTTCACGCTAAAACAGTGTATGAAATGAAGCATTTTACCTGGGACTGAAAAGACCTAAAACTGAACATTAAGGAATTTTGATATTTTCTCAGAGCGCTTGACTGTGCTTATTTATGCATTTTTCTAAACACATTTTATTCCCTGGGGAGGTGCTTGCCCCGGGGTGAAGTAGTGTCAAACTGAGCTATGACAGCAGCAGGCACACTTTTTGCATCCTACAGTAATCCAGATATCTAGTATTTTTAAACAAGCGGCCAGCCTTGCTGGTGTGGGAAACACTCCCATGTAGTTCAAATATTGCAGTCCAATATGGACAAATGCAAAAATGTTTTAATGTGCTGATATGATTTGGAAATCCTGATCTTCTCGTTTAGTATTGTAGGTAGATCGGTGATTTCTGGTGGTAGCTGTCATACCTGGTTCCTTCCGCTTGGGGGTATTCTGGCAAGGCTAATAAATGGCTTCTAGCTGAGAGTGACCTTTCCCTGCATGCCCTTTTGGCTCTTACCCTTGCCATTTCTTCAAACGCTGATCAGCAGTTCAGCCCTCTCTCCTTCCTTCTTTCTAGGCCCAGCTGCCTATGGCTAAGTCTACTCTGGATGCTTGAGAAGGACTTCTACCCAGGCACATGTATTCGGACCTTGACAAAGAACAGGCCACTTCCATCCTCAGTCTAGGGTGAAAATGCCCAAGTCTTGCAAATGTCTTAGGAGCCAAGGGAAGACACAGCCCGCTGGGCAAGCTCGGGGTCCTTCCCTATCCCGGGTGAATGGAGTGGTGGCAAATAACACAACCACTCAAGCTGAGCCACTATAGAGGACTGTTTCAAATACCCATCTCTTCTGTGCCCAACTGTGTGAATGCTTTTTCCCTGTGCTATTCTATTTGTAAACAGATCACCTTGAACCAGCATATTTAGAGCTAACATTGGCTTAGCACTAGAACAGTTGAAAATAAAACCACTCAGACAGGAACACTTCCCAGACAGAACACTAAAACTAAAAGCTGGGAGGCAATTTAAGAAGCGGTTGCCACTCATTTTTAATTGATGCCTCGCAGCTAAGGCTGGCTGTGCCATAATTTGGACAGGAGAACACAGGATCAGAAGACTCAATAAGAGCAAGTGCTGGGGCCAGGCTGGACCGAATGTGCATTGGCGAGTGGTGTAACAGGTGCTCAGGAAATGGTCCTGACAGAAAGCATTGCTTTTGGAAAGGTAAGAACAGAAGATCAAATCCAAAATGAGTTTTGAAGTCTAACAAAGGGTCTTTCATTCTTCAAACTCTCATGGCCATCACTAACACTTTGGGATATTTTGTAGAAATTTGACAATGTGCTGATACATTAAACACTTTTTTTTTTCTTTAAATGAAAAAAACATTTCTGTCAAGGCAGGAAAAGCACTGTTGTTTCACCACATTGTATTCGCATGTTCAGAGTTCTCCCATTTCTCTCTACTAGCCATGCTCTGAATGCAAAAAGCTGCTGAAC